CTGCCTGAGGAGGCGTACTGCGTTCAAACTGGCACACCAAACCCTGCCGAAATCACTTTCCTTACGCTTTCTGACCCGAAGTTCGTGGCGGGCTCCGCGATGTATGTGTCGAGTACCGTGCTAGGAGATGGATTCATGGTAAGTGCAACGGAATATTCTATCAAAAAATATTAACCTGTGTCCAGATCTATCGTCTTTGGATTGTATGGGGCAAGAACAAACTAATCGTCATTCCACCTATCTTACTTCTTTTGGCTCTCGCCAGTAAGTTCTTCGTGTTTGATATTTGGACTTCACTGATGTCTTCTCGTAGCAACTGGCGCTGTTTGCACTTATCTCTTCGACAAAGCTAATACCACAATTTTCGCCGCCGCTGGCTCCTGGATTACATGTTCTTTCGTTCTCACCTTCCTGTATGAATCATTTTTCCACCACCATGACGCACAACACACTAACGTACTACATCTAGTTGTAACTTATATTCTACGGGTAAAGTTGCTGTACCTCATTGACGATCTCAACCTAACTATCTCCAGTTTTAATTGCCCTGAAGATCTTTCTGTCAGGTCGAAAACTTCGTAAAACTCAGACGGAGATCGGACTTGGTTTATCGGTTTGTCTATCCTTACTCTGTTCCCGGCATCTAATGACCTCTTGCTATAGAAAGTAACGGAAATCCTTGTGGAAAGTGCTGCTTTATACAGGTATGTTTGGCTTTACCTTGGCTGGGATGACGTTGATCTCGTTTAGCTGTTGTGTAATTATATCTTTGGTGACTTACCTTATGGGATCCAACATTCAGTTCGTCATGGTGGCCATGGTGAGGATCTTACCAAGATGAGGGGATTGCTCTAGCTAACAAGTTATCTTCTAACGATTTTAGAACAACCCAATGATTGTAAGTTCTTTCAGCTTTACCTTTCATTGACGTGATGTCTAACCCGTCGCTTCAGGGAGTAATATTTTGCATGATCGTGACTCGAGCTCATAAAGCTGCGATCGAGAGCTCAAACCAATCTTACCAAAGAACTGGCGGAGTTCCCAACGTTGGAGGTGCAATGCCCATGCGACCTGTTGCAATCAAAATTACGACTCAGTCTCAAATGGATGGCGAAAATTCTGATAGTACCGACCGCAAATCTTCAGACCTTACCCCTCCTCCATCCCCGCGGTATCTTCGTTCTTCCAGGACCCTAGATGGTCATCGCAGCCCAGTTTAGAAGTCTTATTCATCAATCACATTGGAATATATACCTCATCATCGTGCTACCTTCTTACCTCTGTCCGAGAAAAGCGCAAATCAGCATTGGCCGGTGTGGGGATGTAAGATTTCGCTTTTCGAACTACTAACAATAATTTATTCCACTGAATTCCCCAATTTTGCCTCGCAATCTTTCCGACACGACAGTCGAGAAGACCAGTAATTTATGTAGTTTTCGCTCTCCTCGCCACTCAAATGACTATCTACGCCACACTACGTATTCACCACCTCCAATTACAGGTCTATGGCGAAGGTTAATGTCTGGATTTTTAGCGGCTCCGATTCAAGTGGGCGAGTTTTTATAGCACTCAAAAGCTTGAAGCGCGACCCCGAGATGTCCGGGTACCGTGCGTGTTCATAATCCATGAGACTCCGCAAAGAATTGACGTTCTGGATGATTTCTAGATATCTGCCCTTTGATGACCACTTCTCAGTACCTTAAGTTAAGTGTTTTTATCTCCTTGGCGTCTTCTAAGCGGCGGTTATCTTCACTAATCAAAGAATGCGAGCTGGGTTATTGAGTTTTGGCCGTGAAGATCGCCACCATGGAGATTGCAAAAACTTCACAAATCCTAAGCTTTGATCCGAGCTTTCTCGAAACTCAATCATTCTGCATTCCTGTTGTCTAAATTGTGTGCATGGACCCGGCGACTCTGTAGATACATCTGGATCAAACAGAAACATTGGCCCTTGATCGTTTTGGCCTTCATAACGGCTGTTTGTTTGGTCCTGATGCGATCTCTGGGAATGACTTGGATGGAGGCTCAGCACCTCAATCTGAATATTTTACTCAGTTCTTGAAAGTCGGGGAAACGCTACCCGTCACCGAGTAATGGCCCAAAGTGATGACCGAAACGATGACTATAGTCGGTGGTTTAACCGAAATCATGGCCTGGTCAGTGACTTGTAACTCTGTTAGTCGGACTAGGTTGGACGGTTGGACTTAAGCGCCAGTCACATCACGTGGTCACGGAAGGGCCCGACCATGAAGTCAAACGTCCGCCCGCCGCCATCTCTTCCTTGTGCAGAACTCCAGCGAACCAAGTTGCATTTCTGCAAGTGGTTAATCCTTCAATTTCCGTAGGTAAATGGTGGCCAAATTGAAAATAACTACTGCTCTAAGTAGGCCATCACTTGTCGAATTGCCATACACAAATTTGACGGCGACGTTCCAATTGTTTGTTGCAAACGCAACACATCAATGGCCTTCATGATGCGAAGGAGAATCGCATTGGCCACAATGCATGGTATATATTCACGGACCCGGATTTCAATCAGGTTTCATTTCTTATCCACTGTTGGCCTGTGGTGGCCCAGTCATGTTCCGCTTTGAATCACGAATCACTTGGCCATAAACTTCGGCCAGCGGCACGATATCCCATCTGATGGTTCTTAGGATCCTGGCGGTCCTGGCTCGATCGCAGCTCTGTAGAAATCTTTAGCGCGACCAGTAAACATTCACGCGACAGAGATTTTCCCTCTGGACTCCCATCCCCTTTGGTACACGTGAAGACCTCCGGTCGAAACATATAAAGACGCATTTGAGGATGTGGTCACCCAGCCATCTCACTACCTTTTCCGTCTGCCCGTTTCCCGCAAGAGTCCAGCAACGATTCTTAAGATGAAATCCGAAGAAACGACACGTCTCCTCCCCTCCAATGCTCAAAAGGAACGCCTAAAGTTCCCTCTTGGACTCGTCTCACCCACCGTCAGACCCTATCTAGAGCTGATCAGGTTTGAAAAGGTAAGCCACCTTCTCATGTTGATCGCCCACGTTACTTACAGCTCGACAGCCTACAGGGACAATTCTCATGTTCTGGCCATTTGGTATGTCATTGTCGACCGCGTCCGAGAGGTCTGGACACTGATCTGTGCTTCCAGCATGGGGACTCACAATGGCAGCATACAGAGAACAGCTCCCTCTAGATGTTTATGCTTTCGACCTCGTCAAGTGTCTCTTCAGCGCCTTCATTGTTCGAAGTTCAGCATGCACGATCAATGACATTTTTGATCGCAAGATGGATGCTGGTGTTGGCATGTGCTTCGCATCTAAATCTCCGTGGCATCGACAGCTAACAGCACAAGCAGAGCGTTGCCGAACACGTCCTCTAGCTAGCGGTCGTATTTCCGTATTTGCAGCCACCACCTACCTGCTCGTTCAGTACGCTATCGGCATCGTGTTCTTCTACGCCAATCTTCGCGACCTAGCGTGAGTCCGACCCTTTCAAACGGACCCTCAATTAAGTGCTGACCTTGCTCATCTGCTAGACTTTCTGTGGCTCTCTTCCAGCTTCTTCCGCTGTAAGTGCGCCTTGCGTACGATCTAAGGCGAAGGTTTGCTCACTCTTTACATAGCTTTATGATTTATCCGCTCCTTAAGCGTTGTACACACTGGCCTCAGGCTTGGCTTGGACTAGCTATGAACTTCGGATTGATCGCCTCATGGGTTGCTATCACTGGGTCACTCGACTCTAAGGTTATCGGAGCTGGCGTTACATCATGCTGGGGGTGCGTTTCTTCTACTTCAACACGCCTCGATTTGACACTAACTGCTAAATTTTATACTCAGATGGACGATGCTATACGGTTGATAATTCCTATTGCCCGAGATTTTCGCAATAATCTGACCCTCCCCACAGACACTATCTACGCCTGCCAAGACATCAAGGACGATATCAAAGTCGGTGTACGTTCCACCGCTATCCTGTGGGGAGCCTGGATTCGCCCTCTGTTGGTTGGGTGTGGGCTTATGTTCTTGGCATTCTTTGCCCTTGCTGGGTATTTGAACAATCAGGGACCCGCATTCTTTGTTGCCTCCATCGGTGGATTAGCTTTCCATTTGATCTACCAGTACTGTACCGTTGACTTGGAGGTTCCCAAAAGTTGCGGAGGTGAGGCCCGAATCCCTTTCACTCGGTGCTCCTAAACTGATCAAATTATTTTTCCAGATAACTTCATCGGTAATGGACGAATGGGAGCGATTATCTGGGCTGGGCTGATGCTGGATTACTTGCATTCTTTGGGCAAATTTTAGATTGATTTTTTTGATCTGTTCTACTCTCTGGGCTTTTAGCTTTGCTTTCGACTACCTTAGATCTTGCGACGAGACTTTATCTCTCGCCTATTCTCTTCAATCTTACCTCCATTATTCTTCACGTCATTTGTATATTTGGATTCGTGTATGTTGTATTAATGAAATAAGGTTCTCGTAGCCGCGAGAATACTCTTCATCTTCGTGCGTCTCGGATCAAATCCTCGCTTTGAAAATTCGTGTATTCAACATTCTTAGCAAGTCAGGTGGTGGAATAATCGATAGGTACACAGAAAACCAAGACCGATAAACAATAAGGGCCAGCCTTATTGTTTGTCGAAAGGGATCCTGACGAGCTTGTACCAGCGGATCAATCACAAGGTACTTTTGCCATCATTTTCAGCCCGATTTTCTCGGGTTTCGAAAACTGAACAATCAAGTTCGGTAGCAACTGTATCTGCTGCTTTATCGAATTTAGATCCACACGTCCTAGCAGTTAAGCGTCTATGACCTGTGCTGGATTGTGTTGAATTCAAACCGATTGGACTCGTAGACTCGGAGGGGGATACCTGATCACATCGTGGGAAGAAAATTTGCCACTTTTGATCCGGCGTCTCTCTCCATCAAAACAGTGATCCCAATCGCTCTCGCAGACTGCAGAACGCAAAAACGACTTTGGAACACAAAATATGTAGAAAGAAAAACCAATGGACACTGTGGGAATTGAACCCACGACCTCACGCAATTTGCATTACGTAATGCGAAGCGTGCGCGCTACCAACTGTGCCAAGAGCCCATATCGCTGACTCCATAACAACCATTCATGCAAAGCATTTATTTATATACGCGGGGGTTATCAAGGCACATCCGTCTTTCGGGATAACAATGACATCTTGAAGCGAATGAACGTTTCATTGATCTTATGTAAATTGTAATGGATACCCTTAAAGTCAAGAATTAGATTTACAAAAACAGGCCATCAACTGAAAGTCAGATTGATACTATTATCCTATTATCATCATTATTAACCCGTAAGTTACTAGTAATAACCGAGAAGACACCGTAGGCGAAAAAAACTAGCGTTTATGAGTCGTAATGTCCCATTTTCGCATCTAACAGTACATACTTAGTACTATAAGCACCCCAGGTCATCATCCAATTTCTATTAGAGCTTGCCTACCTACAATTCCAAATTTGTTGGTCGTAACATAATAACTTGGTTGTCTTCAGTGAAATATGCGTAATTTGGCAATATAGAGGACATGGTACAGTAATGCGAAACGTTGTTGAAGATCAGATACTTAGAGCCTACCAACTCAGCACGATCGACGCACGAGCGAAAAGGGACTGGGAGAGTAATTCGTATTCAAATCGAAGGTAGATAAAAGAATGAGTAGGTGGTTTTCATCAAGTCCGATTACTGAGAAGTGTCGGGGTTGTGTACACTTCTATAGAGATACCAGCTGGACCGTTCGAGAATAGTGATGTTGTCAATCGACCTGAAGCGAGCGGAAAATTTAAGGAGTTACCATACGGATGGGAGACATCTGAGCGTAGGTGATAATATCGGTTCTGCACATATCATGGCAAGAAGGCCGAATCTTCTGTATCGCGAGTTTATCGAGGGCAGCGCGCATTCCCTGTTGTCAATGTGAGACGTAGAGGAGTCCGAAGCATCACCCTGACGGTACAGAAAACGCTCACTCCTCAGTGGGAGGACAAGGAGGAGGACGCGAAGTAGAGCAGTGGATCCTGGTCGCATATTATCTGGCAAGCTCCAGCGGATGTTCAGTAACCAGTATGGCTCGGAGATCGTGCTCAGCAGCCTGAGAGGGCCAGAGCGTCCGGCGCACCACCCATGGAGTGTAAGTGAAATAGTACTTGAATGTGTAGCGTCAGGTAAAGCTTCGAAAGAGACTCTTGTCCTCAATGTGCAACAGTATCAGTGAATTAAGAAGATTCCAGTTCACAATACATGTCCACTGTTAGCTGTCATAACACGGAGAGTCAGACGCCAACTCCGGAAGCTTCAGAGCGCCTGTTCAGGCACTCAACCCGAGAGGCGTCCCGAGTGGCCTGGGGCAAGTGCCCGATCTTCGTCCTGCAGAGAATAAACGGAGTCGCGTTTTGTATGTAAAGAGAGCAGCGGAAATAGCACCGAGAACTTGGAAGAGTGGGGACTTGGAGGTGGATAAATCAAAGTTTGGTACAGTATCTTCAGCGAAGTTCTGCATTGGCTGGGTGGTGAGAGGCTGAGGGCGTATCCGTCATCGCTTCAACGACTCTGTACTAGTGCTATTCTTGATGCTTGACGCTCGAGGCGTAGAATTGAGTATACCAGAGTGGTTGATCTTGGCCATGGAGGTAGACAGGAGTGGATGGGAGGGATTTAGTGTCGTACGTAGAGGCTTGGTGTTCGCTTCACTTGGATGCTTCATGATACTTACATCCCATCCAACCTCAATTCCTCTTTAGAACTAATCCGTCAAGATGGGTATTCCGAGTCCTTGGTATGCGGCATGTAGCCGTCAGAAGCATCATCCTGACGGCGTAAGAGCAATATTGCCTATCACAGATTGAGTACACTGAGGTAGGTCCGAACGACAGACGTCGTCCAATTCGTAGATTTTCGTATGAAGATTTGGATCGGGGTAATCTCATCGTCCCAATATGCACGTTCTCGCTCCCAAGTCGGAGGAAGACAAGGAGGGGTAGAGCAATTGGTCTTGAGGTCGTTTAGCCAACGTGCTCGGAAGATAGCGTGTATGACTCGGATATCATTCTCGTGTTCAGCATAGTTGGAACAAGGGTGTTCGATGCACCAGCGAACGCGTTCAAAGCCAGTGAATGGTGTTGCCCATGATCTAGGGAGGGTGAGGGCAAACCTTTGAAAGAGAATATGGTGCCGATAATGAGCAACAACGAATAGAAGATGCTAGTGTAGCTTACTATAAATACTCACAATCCCAACCCAACCCCAACCTCAGAAACTGTAGACTGACCGCAGATTGCCTGCTCGAATCTCGAAGAGGCGTTCCAACTTGGTAAGTCTGGCATTTCGTTTTGGATTAGTGAAGTTTATGTCCTTTGTGCGTAGAGCAGTGAAGAGTCGAGAGTAGCGGAGTGGTAGACACGCAACTTGAATTTTGTGCTCATTCGAGTTTGAGTTGCAGCTTCACGAGGGAATCAAGGTGTCAAAAGACCCTCGACACGGTAGTAAGTACAATGACAGTTTGTGGATGTAAGTTTGAGGCGCGACGAAGTCGCGTTGTACCGACGTGCTCGAGCTCATACTTGTTCTGATCCACGAAGAATATACCGGTCGCATGTCATCAAGGCCCTTAAATTGGAAAGTAGAGTGTGTGTATCGTGTGTTGTATTCGGATGGGTAAGAGTGTTGGGATTAGTCAGGTAGACTCTTGAAAGAAAGTATGTCGTTGGATCCGGGGAGCTTTCCCGGTATCCCGTGATCTTATGCGAAGTCAGTTAGGGGTAAATTTGAGAGGCAAGAAGCTTTATTTTCCTCCAAAATTAAACAGAAAACTGTATGGATATATCCAGCGGTCTGTTATTAAAAGACTTATATAAAATAATTCGTCACTAACCTACTCAATCTAGAAAATATATAAACGTGTTTGATCCTTACAATCGATAAGACACCTTTCCTCTGCCGTAGAAGTATCTGGCCATGGTATAGCTGGCCGCGCCAGCCAAAAGTGTCACCTGGCATATGTAAATCAGTAAAGAGATTCATTAAGTTGTTGTATATCGACAAAGTGGACTTACACCTGCGAAGACGTCTGGCCGCACCCAAATGTAAGTGTTCGTGAGGAGAGCGCCAGATATCGGAGTAGCTAATATAGAGTCCCAGTAAGTTGAAATCAAACACTCTAAATTTAAGCATACCAAATAACCCAATCAAACCACCAATGCCAAAGAAGATACCCATCCGCGTGCCAATCTCCGCTGGACTCTTCGCAAGAAGCGCTGCAGTAAAAAAAGTCAAAGAGAGATTTAGAGAGAAATGAAATAGGAGTACGCACCAACGCTTGCCGGAGCCATAGTAATAGCTGCACCGGAGAAGAATCCATAAAATATGGAAAAGACGATCGTCCCAGCGGCGTCTTTTACGGCTAACAAGCAAAACACTAAAGCTCCAGTACAGGTCATAAAAAAGACGCCAATATTGAGTGTTCCCGTTATTGGAACCAAGAATCCTGGCGTAATTCGACCGAAAAGACTAGCTGCATTTAGAATAGACGTCTATGAAAGGTTTAATTATGAACTTGAATGGAATCTGGAAGTGGGAACTGACAGTATAAAGTGCGACGTTGCGGTCAACACCATGCGTAATGGCGTTCAGCTGGACGTTGAATACTGGATAGAACAAGCCAAATAAGAGAAAAACAACACTTTCGAGGAAGATTATCAGATATATCTGTTGGACTCAGATGAAATATAAAACCTACGAAATCAACAAACAGACATATGGCGGCTCCTTGAACCATTGACCAATGGGGAAACGTTGAAGCCCTTTCGGAGGTAATCGAGTCCGAGTAATCAACAAAGCAATAATCAACAAGAAAGTGTTGATTCCAGCGCTTATCCTCACCCCATTATGAAATCCCACCGATCCGGTGAAAAATCGGTTGAGCATTATAGGGTTTATTACGGCGCCTACAGTACAATATTAGTACATTAGCAAGGAAACTCAAAGAAAAAGAGAAGACAAGAAAGTCAGCACCTAATGCTGCGCCAGATGCGACTATTCCGACAGCGAGTGCTCTTCGCCGCTGGAAGTAGTGTCCAGCGATACCCAAGCCTTTATATGTATCAACGACTGGGCCACCAGGAAACGAGATATCACTCACTGGGTACCCATGTCAATCCAGTAGCTAGACCGAGTGTAACACCATGCGATAGGAAGACCTGATAGTACGAGTTTTCATGCGTTATAGAAAGCATGAAGACTTGTTTGCATTTCAGTCAAGACAACGAGAATATTTCTAGAAAAGACGTACGTCCAAGAGAGTTGAGGATAAGAGTTGCAGCCAGGAGATAAGTGCTGTAATCGTCATGAGCATGTGTGTGATCATTTGCTGGACTTGGTACGCACAAATATCCTTTGTCAAGAAGCACCCCAGAAAATGCCCCAGTGGAAAACGTAAGGAATATTTGAATCCCGCCGATCCACCTGTGTACACGATGATTCGAAATAAGAATAAAATTTTGATAAGATAACTTGAAGATGATCACGCACCCTATGTCACTAGGCGTATAGTTCGTCAAGTATTGGCGAACATAGTAGTCTTCGAATGTGCCAAACGTGTTGATGTATCTACCCGTCGATTCAGTTAGCAATTTAGCATCACAGGTAGATTAAAAATCGGCGTACCCAAAGCATGTATACTGTATCAGCCAGCTGTGAGATAGTATCAACACTGAGTATCCAGATGGTTCGAAAAGAGAAATATTCAATTCGACGGACTTACGCTCCAAACACAGTTTTCCATGCATCAAAACCACCTTCTGGGAATGTAAGGGGTAGGGGCGGCGTGGATGCTGTCTGGGCTGCCTCTTCATCTTTCACTCTATTAACCGATACTTCCTCCATTTTTTCCTTTTCTTGTCCAGTCGTGTTTATCGTGGCCGTTTCACTCGAAGGCATCATATCGATATCGAGACTGGGGTCGTTGATGCCGTTATTAAAAATCGTCGGGTGACGGTCCATGTCTTAGGGCAAGAAAGGGCGAACAGAATTCTGTGGACATCGTCACAAGCCCGGTCGACAGATTT